AATTGGAAATAGTACAAAGGCAACATATCAAATGTTGAAACTGAGAAATTTTATTGTTTTTTGAAAAATATATGCCCATATTGGATTTAATGCCAACAACACGTTCCAAAAATGTTGGGATGGTGCAACAAAAGGCTGGTAAAGTTGTGTAATGCTAAAAAAGCACCTCATGGTTAATTGGCAACAGGTCAATAACACAATTGGGTAAAAAAAAAGCATCTCAGAGAGGCGGAGTCTTTTAGAAGTAAAGATGGGGAGGGGTTCACCACTCTGTGAAAGACTGCATGATCAAATAGTGCAACAATAACCCACTACAGTACACTAATAGTGGTTGGTGTAATGTAGTGGGTAACACCTCTGCTTTCTATGCTGTAGACTGGGGTTCAATCCCCTGCCTGGGCAAGCAACCTACACTCTGTCAATAAGAGGGCCCAAAGATCACGGCCAGTATTTGCTTGCCGTAATCTTTGGGCCCTCAGGCGGCACTGCATTAAAAACAGACATGATTCTGTAGTGGAAATCACTGCGTGGGTTTAGAAACACTTTTGAAAACCACTGTCAAGAACAGTTTGTCACTGCTTTCACAAATGCAAGTTAAAACTCTAAAACTCAAAGAAAAAAACACATATAAACAGAATCCAGAAATGCCGCCACCTTCTCTGGGCCTGAGCTCATTTAAAATGGACTGAGGTGAAGTGGAAAAGTGTCCTGTGGTCCGACGAATCAACATTTGAAATTCTTTGTGCAAATCATGGACACTGTGTCCTCCAGACTAAAGACCACTCAGCTTGTTATCAGTTCACAGTTCAAAAGCCAGTATTCATGATGGTATAGGGGGGCATTAGTGCACATGGCATGGGTGATGTGCACATCTGTGAAGGCACCATTAATGCTGAATGATATATACATATTTTGGCAACATATACTGCCATCTAGACGACGTCTTTTTCAGGGAAGGCCTTGATTATTTCAGCAAGACAATGTTAAACCACATTCTGCATGTATTACAACAGCATGGCTCCATATTAAGAGTCCAGAAGCTAAACTGACCTGCCTGCAGTCCAGACCTGTCGCCACTGAAAACATTTAGCGCATTATGAAGTGAAAAATACAATAAAGGAGACCCTGAACTGATGAGCAGCTAAAATCCTGTATCAAACCAGAATGAGAAAACATATCTCTTTCCAAACTACAGCAGTGTCTCCTCAGTTCCCAAACGCTTAGAGTGTTAATTGATAATTGATAACAATTGATATCTTGTCTTTGTAGTATTTTCCTTTACAAATATGGTTCACATGATTTGTGTATCACTGCATTCCATTTTTATTTACATTCTGCACAGCGTCACAACTTTTTTGGAAATGTCGTTGTATTACAATATTATATTATTTATATCCATTATTTAATCCACTCAGAGGAGCAAAATGGAGGAAATACATCAAACTAAGCATTCAAAAAATTTATCAAACAAAAACTGGATCTGATGGAGGAAGAAACAGTCAACAGGAAAAACATCCTCCTTGGAAAATACGATAACTGTGGAGTGACAGAAAGCAGGAGACGAGGATGAGAAGCAGCAGAGGCAGCGTACGAGTTCGATAAATTTAGATGTTCATTTCATCGACTCTCATAACACATTTAAGAACATAATATTTTCAAGAACACCGAATGTTTGTAAATTATTCGTAAGACATTAGTAAAGAAAAAATAAGAGAATTCTTAAGAAGTTTTAAGAAGAACTTTTTTCTTAAAACACTTTCGTGATTTTTGAAAAACTCCTGTAGAGAAAGCGGCTGTGGGATGATCACTCCAACTCATCCCAAAGGTATTGGATGGAGCTCCATCACTCTAGAAAACACAGTTCCACTGCTCCACAGCCCAATGCTGGGGGCTTTATACCCCTCTAGCCCACACTTGCCACTGGAAATGGTGAGGCTCATTCTAGTCAGTACTTTTCAATGGAGATTATACAAGCTGTGTGTACAGCTGAACACCTGTATCAGGGTGAGCTTAAAGTAGTTGAATCAGTGAATCAGGTGGGCCGTCCGGATACTTTTGGACACACAGTGTAGTCACACAGGGTGCATATGGGGGTAAACGTGTGGGCTGTGTTTTCTCTGAGCTTACGGGACAGACGCTGTCAGTCATCCAGTCACATCCATCAGCCTGCTGGTTGTGAAGTGTGAGCTCTGAGACAGAAGGGTCTCACACTCACACACACTCACACACACACACACACACACACTCACACACACACACACACTCACACACACACACACACATCACACACACACACAGAGAGAGCAGCCAAGTCTCAAACACACATCCCACAGATCACAATACAAAACAAACAGCTTTAGAGAAACATACAGAGGACTGAGAGAGAGAGAGATAGAGAGAGAGAGAGAGAGAGAAGGAAAGAAAGAATGGAGGATAAACAGAAAAAGAAGGATAGAAGTAAGAGTAGGACAAGAGAAAGAGGGAAAGAAAAGTAGGGAGAGAAGACAAAGGAAAGAGAGGCAGAGTGAGGCAAAGAGAGAGTGGAGAGGGACAGAGAGAAAGAAGAGAATGGGACTGAAAAGAGAGAGAAATGGATAGAAAAGAGAGAAAGATAAGAGGCTAAAAGAGAGACAGAGTGAAGGGAGAGAGTGAAGGAGAAAGAAAGAAGAGAGGATATAAAGGAAAAGAATGATAGAAGTAAGAGTAGGGGAGAGAGAAAAGGAGGGAGAGAAGACAAAAGAAAAAGAGGCAATGAGGCAAAGAGAGGGAAAGAAGAGAGGGAGAAAGAAAAGAATAAGACTGAGAAAGAGAGAGAGAGAAATTGATAGAAAAGAGAGACGAGAGGCTGAAAAGAGAGAAATAGAGACAGAGAGATGGAAAGATATTCATCTCCCTCTCTTTTCTATCCATTTCTCTCTCTCTCTCTCTCTCCCTCTCTCTGCAGACACCACTGTGTGGCAGCAAGTCTGAGATGCTGATTTCTTCTTCAGTGTAGTCATCCGCTTTGTAAAGATCTGTGGACACCTGAGTCAGAGAGAGAGAGAGAGAGAGAGAGAGAGAGAGAGGGGATGTGTTGAGAAAAGCTCGCTCGTGTCAGTGACATCTGAGCATGTCAGAGACTCTCTCGCTTTGGAAGTTTGTCAGTTCGGGGGAAAGCGTGAAGAAGACAAAGAGAGAGAGAAGGAGGGAAGAAGGGAGTGATGGAGTGGGAGTAAACGAAGCTGAGTCATCTCTCTGACTCTTCACCTCCCTCAGAGAAACGACTTGAAAGACTTCGGGGTTCTGAAAGCAGAGAGACACACATCTGTACACTTCAGGATAAACACAGAGAGGAGAGCTCTCTATCAGAGAGAGAGAGAGAGAGAGAGAGAGAGAGAGAGAGTCACTCCGACTCAACCTGGAGATGTTTTCTTTCCTGACGCTGCTCCTCACTGCACAGTGCATCTGTGTTCACCGCAGGGGTGTAGTGCTAAAAAATGGACATGTGTTTCTGATGAGTGATTCAGCTGCTTTAAGGTCAGCCATTACTAATACAGGTGGTCAATTGCGCAAACAGCTTGTATAATCTCAATAGAAAAGCACTGACCAATAGGGACACTCTGGAGCAGCTGTACATGAGCCCAAGGTCACCATGGCCAATGCCAAGCATGGGCTAGAGGGGTATATAGCCCCCCAGCATTGGGCTGTGGAGCAGTGGAACTGTGTTCTCTGGAGTGATGGAGCTCCATCCAATACCTTTGAGATGAGTTGCAGTAAACCAGAACTGACCATCCAACATCAGTACCTGACCTCACTAATGCGCAATCAAATCCTCACAGCGATGTTCCAACATCTAGTGTTCCAAGTGCATGTGAAGTATGTTTTCCTGAGTCTGCGTTCATTTTAAAGGAATTAAAAACTCAAGCTCGCCAGCTGAAAACTCACCGGTACACTGGTAACTCACTGCTGTTCGTCTCACTCTGACTGGACTCGGATGCTGGTTGTCATAGTAACGTCTACACTAAGTGGTTCTCTACGCATGCGCATAATTTTGAATCTGATTGCTTGTAGTGTGAATGTAAACAGAGGTTTTCCATCAGATTGTTGAGTAGACGAGCTTATAAACACCTCAGTTTTAATCTATAAACAGTATGTATTCAATCAGATTGGCAATGAGTGTGTTTACATGCACGTAATAATCCGATAATTGCAGATTTTGTCAGTAATCTCATCAAAGCATTTACGTGCACGTGAGTAATCAGATGATGAGGAAAATCCAGGTCTACATGAGTCAGACAGTAATCAGATTTCTGCTTTACAACCAGCCAATAAACTCACAGAAGAAGACGTGACGTAAACATAATATAAAACTTCATGCCGTGGCTTTTTTAAAAACATTGCGCCGCCTTACCTGATAATATGAACGTACATCATTTAGAAGATGAAGATTATTTAAATCCTTTATTTCATGTTTGGTTTCAGCGTCACTCCAAAAGTGTTTTGCTGCGTCTCGCGGCGACTCTGCTCGCTTATTTCCGGTACCGCCGTCTGTTCTCGCACATGTGCAGACTGAGAAATCTGAAAGAAATCAGAGTAAGAGTTCACATGCACTGAGAAATCTGATTACTGAGCTAAAATCCAGCTTCTTTATCAGATTTCTTAATCAGATTTCTAGATTGGAGTATGGTGTTTACATGACCATTTGAATAATCGGATTGCTGCAGAAATCCGATTATGATCGGATTATTGAGTGCATGTAAACGCACTCAGTCTTTTCCTGTAAACACAGCCTGTGTAGCCTTTCCAAAACTTTGCAAAGTAAACCTTGAAAAGAATAAAATTAGATCTATTCCGAAAGGAAATGAAGGCAGTGAGGTTTCAGAGCTTTACTATTGTGAATGAATAGGCTGTATTAGATGAGTAGCTTTTAATAAATGTGTGCTAATGCACTGCTCTCTCTCTCTCTCCCTCTCTCTCTCTGTCTCTCTCTCTCTCTCTCTCTGTCTCTGTCTCTCTCTCAGTATCCCAGGTTCAGCGGTGTGTGCGTTTGATATGGAACAGCTAGCAGCCGTGTTTGACGGCAGATTTAAGGAGCAGAAATCTCCAGAGTCGATCTGGACGCCTGTGGCAGACGAACTCATCCCCAAACCAAGGTACATAAATCACCCCCCCCCCGCTAGCATAGCATTAGCGCAAGCCATTATTCACACAACTGCAACACATTCAGCATTTTTGTCAGCATATTTCTACAGGCAGTGGATACTTCATACTTTCTTTAGAGAGTTCTTGAAGCAAATACTGAAATATTAAACCAGTGTTTACCCATAAATCTGTGCCTTATGTTGCTGTCAAGCTATCAACTCAATTCATTACTCTGCGTCATCCGCTTTTTCAGATAAGTGACAAACAATTTGTTAAAATATTTAATTTTTAAATTTATTTAATTTAAAATAAAATTTTTAACAGTCTTACACCGTGGTTGGAGTTTGTAGATCAATTTATGTTTGATAAACTGATTAACAAACTGTCCTAAAACAGCCCAAGATATATATGAATGATTGGAGCACTTGTGCATTTAAGGGTTCTAGATAGTTTAACTGTAGTTTTTATTGGACACTTTTGGTTCCCTAATCCTGGGGTATGCAAACTTTTTCACACCAGGACCCACATATAGAGGTAACCCTGTTTAAGAGACCTACCAAATATTTTATGAAGAAAAATAAGAAATAAACTCATGACAGTGGTTCTGTTAATGAACCGTGAACATTCAAAGAATCATTGAATCAACGATTAGATGGTTCCATGCGTCATGAAATGGTTCTTCAAATTGCTGGAGAATGTGCTTTATAAGGTTCTATAGAGAGCCTTTCTGGAAAGGATTCTTTATAGCACCAAAAAGGTTCTGCTGTTGTGATGATGTCAAGCTTATAACAACTGAAGAACCCTTTTTAGTCCTAATTAGAAGCATTTTCAAAAAGGTTCTACATAGAACCATATACAGCTTGTTCTCCATCAATCTGAAGAACCATGTCACCATGCAAAAAAACATTTAATTTATTATTTGTTATTTGAGTGTTCATGGTTCTATATAGAACCATTGTCTTCACTGAATAACCCCTGAAGACCCATTTTTTTAAGAGTGTAGAGTTTGAGTGTGGTGACTGCATCCTTTCCTTTTTAAAATAATTAAAATAAGTTAAAGAACCTCCATATAAGGTTCTGAATCAGTGAGAGAGTTTTCCTAGAACCACACATCCAAACCTAGACTCAGTTAGGAATCTTTATGTTTGAGAGTTTAAGCTTCTTTCTCACAGCCAGTCCTGTAATTCTCTCTCAGGCCAGGAGGGTGCGCCATCCAAGGCTCAAAGTTCAACTCCTCTAACTCCTTCCCTGACGAAATGCTGAACTTCGTGAAGACCCACCCGCTGATGGACGAGGCCGTGCCGTCTTTGGGCCAGAGGCCATGGATCGTTAGGACGATGGTCAGGTGGGTTTAATAATGGTGGGGCAGCAATCTAAGAGCTGGATCTATCGTTTGGAGGTCATTCATTGGATCCCAGGTGATGCCACAGCCATCCGTGGTCTGGAGTCCAAGACAGCACAGCTGTCCTCTCTCTCTCTCTGGGTGGGTAAGATCTCAGCGTGACGCTGGCCAACGCAGGGGTCTGATAGCTGATGTAACGAAATTAGAAGTTAGTGTTCTCCTCCGAGCGTGTTGAGCTTCAGTGACGTTCCATTAGCAGCAGTCTGAAAACATGTGGTGGAGCTTCATGTGTCTCAGAGGGAGATTGTGCTAGACTTCACCCTTGGGAGCATCCCACCCTCACTAGCCCACAGTAGTACTGTGAACTAGAGGGAGTCCTAGCTAGTGGTTGGATTTGGAACAGAAGAAAACCAGGTTTAAAAAGTCCTGTTTTGGAGCAAATTCGCTATTTCACTAATCACTATTTTGATTTAATACACTGATGTATTTCAAGACTAGCGTACAGAGACACAGCACTGCACCATGTAGTGGTTTTGCTGCTCTAAAACACCTATATATGTATATATATATATATATACACAAACAAATGCATTTTCATATATATATACATACATATATGTATATATATATATATATATATATATATATATATATATATACAAACAAATGCATTTTCAAATGTGTATATATATATATATGTATGTGTATATATATATATATATATATATATATATATACATATATGTATGTATATATATATATGAAAATGCATTTGTTTGTATTTGTTATTATATAGTTCAATTTTATGTAGTTTTGACAAAGGTTACAGATATTAACTAAATGTATGGATGAACGGTACTGACTTTACATTAACCATGTACATATGCAGTAAGACACTCACACACAATGTATTTCAAATATACAAGACATCAAATCATAACTGCATTTTCACGGAGTATCAATACCTACAACACTCGCTTCTGCCATGTTAAAGGTTCATTTCCTAATATTTAAAATTAACATGCTGGAATACAAATTAATTTCAGAAGGTATCAGACAGTGAAGTGCATTAGACAGGATTTTGGTTGTTTTCATACATATTCAAATATATTTGAGAAATACATTTACACACATTTATTTCTGTATGCTACATTTTTATGTGTAATATTTCCCCATATATTTATAACAAATGTATTTTAAAAATATATTTGGTTAATATGGCGGTATACTCCAAAATATATTTGAGCTTGTGCAATGTATTTCGGCCTGGATTGCAATGTGTTTGGAATGTATTTTAAATATATAAAAACATATGTCCATATATTTTTTTCCATATGGCTACAGCGTCAGATGCCACACCATAAGTTAAATAGCAGCTGTAGACTGTGACTCCACAATCACCTTCACCACAGGAGGTGGTAGCTGTAATGTAGCTGCGTTCTGCTGTTCGGTTAATGCTGTAGAATAAGCTGTAATTAAAATACAGTGATCTCCTGTATTTTTACATGAAAGTAATGCAGCTCATTGGCCAGTACTTTACTGTAAATTTGCATATAAAATGATCACTTCTGACTTTACCAGACCTATAAATATGTTTGAAAATGTAAATGAAACACCCTGTTTTGCACTGTATATATACAGAAAGCAAATACACATTTTACAGATGTTTTCACCTTTGATATCATTTGCACAACCATATGACGGTGTTTTAGGGCCACTGTTAATAAAAATAAAAATAGTAGACTTCGAGAATAAAGTCGTAATATTTAGAGAATAAAGTCGTAATATTTTGAGAAAAAAGTCGTGCTATTTCGAGGATAAAGTGGTCTAACTGTAGGGGGGCTGCCATAACACGTTGAGGTTGCTGTACTGGCGCCGGAGTTCCACTCACTCCTGTCTCCCTCCTATCTCCTCTTCATGCTCTCTTTGAATGGTGCGGAGATGTAGCCCCCGATAGCCGTGTAGACGACCCTGCTTGAGATTCTCCTTCAACAACACAGACAGACAGTTTCCTCCGAGTCCGTCTGGCTCTTTATTCTAGATAAACAGTTTCCTGCTCAGCCGTTTCAGCCAGTTCTTATACTAATAACAGGCTGGTGCTGATGTGCAGGAGAGACAGGGAGACTGAGTGTTTCTTTATGGGTGAATCGATATGAAAGTAGAGCTCCACCAACTCACCGCCCCTCATTTAACACAAGGAGGTGCCGCCTTCCCTTCGCAAAACCTTTGTTCACAATATTGACCTTTCCTGGTATTAATGCCACTTTAATGTCGGAATTCTACGACTATTTTTCCTTAAAATATTACAACTTTTTTTCTCGAAATATTACGACTTTATTCTCGAAGTCCACTATTTTTATTTTTATTAACAGTGGCCCTAAAACGCCGTCGTACAACCATGACCAGAAAGACGCATCTAGCAGTTTTTTGTCAGCACCTCAGTGTTCTAGCATTAAAATACCTTAATATAAGTAAATTTCACAATAAAATGAAGAATGCAGTGTTTTACTGTTGAAATTAACCTTAAATATTGTGAAATCCTATCAGTGTACGTTTGGGGGGAAGGGAGAAACTGAGCCAGTTTGTTTTTTTGGCCGACCCATCACTTTAACCCCTGGAAATCAGAAGCAAAAACATGAAAAAAACAAGCTATTTCTGCTGTTTAATCTGCTCTTCTTAGTTAATAATGTGTCAGTGCTGTTTGATTGATTAAGTAAATGGCATGTGTCTATTTGAGATTACAACTCAACATGGTTTGCTTTAGACATGCAGTTACGCTAATTAGTGTACACAAGCTTCCAGTAGGCCTACTAAGCTACATCAGCCTCGTAGCTCAGGTTTAAAACCAAATAAGCACACCTCAGACACCAGACGTGCCTCGGCTGATGGACTGCGCTGAGACCAAGCTGTAGTTTTCTCGCTAGACTGTTGGAGTAGCGCAGTGTCATGGTCAGCGCACAGATTTGTGCTACTCCCTGAAAATTCAGCCAGCAGGCAACCGTGTTTTTTCTCTGTTGGTGTCTCTCACAACACACGGACCACAGTCTGCTCTCGGCTGGACACCCCGCCGGCCGCAAATCTGCCAGAACATTACCGTGACGAGTTGCTTGTGCAGTTTGAAGCGCCCACAGCGGCCCTTCCTCACTTTCAGAGAATAGCACTGCACCCCAGCGGAGCATTCCTACTGTTCAGCCGCAGCCCTGCCGTCTCAAGACGAGCTAGTTTGTCTTAATTACACCGACAACTGTGCATATTTATGCAGCGCGTCATTACTGCCTCTGGTTTTGATTAATTTTTAAGCAGCTTGATTCTGCCTTTGTCTCAACAGAGAACGAGTAAATCAGAAACATGCAGAGTTTTAACACATGAGAGTGTGTAGAGTTATTATTGCTGTTTTACTCTACAATTTTTATCATAGTTACATTGCTAATTACATAGTTAAGTATTGTTCAGGTGCTATTACAACCTCATTTCCAAAAAAGTTGGGACGCTGTGCAGAATGTAAAATAAAAATACAATGCAATGATGTGCAAATTATGTAAACCATATTTTTAAAGGAAAATACTACAAACACAACATATCAAATGTTGAAACTGAGAAATTTTATTGTTTTTTGACAAATATATGCACATTTTGTATTTGATGCCAGCAGCACATTCCAAAAAAGTTGGGACGGGGGCCTGTTTACCACTGTGTTTCATCACCTCTTCTTTTAACAACACTCTGTAAGCGTTTGGGAACTGAGGAGACACTGCTGTAGTTTGGAAAGTAAAATGTTTTCTCTTTCTTGTTTGATATAAAATTTCAGCTGCTCAACAGTTCGGGGTCTCATTTGTCATATTTTTCATTTCATAAAGTGGCAGATGTTTTCAGTGGTGACAGGTCTGGACGGCAGGCAGGTCAGTTTAGCACCCACGGAGCAATGCTGCTGTAATACATGCAGAATGTGGTTTGACATTGTCTTGCTGAAATAATCAAGGCCTTCCCTGAAAAAGACGTTGTCTGGATGGCAGCATATGTTGCCAAAATATGTATATATCATTCAGTATCATGAATACTGGCTTTTGAACTGTGCACTGATAACACGCTGAGTGGTCTTTAGCCCAGAGGACACAGTGTCCATGATTTCCAAAAAGAATTTCAAATTTTGAATCGTTGGACCACAGGACACTTTTCCTCTTCGCCTCGGTCCATTTTTCACAGACATAGATATTTGCGTACATACATAATAAGATTGGCTACTCATAAGTAGAAACCATGTCCATTGAATTTAATGTTAATTTTATTTTGCACTAAAGATCTACCTAGCAGTCCTACGTGAAAGAAATGTGTTGTTCAACCTTTCCGCTGTCATTTTTAATGGATTATTTGAAATAAGGTCTTTTTTACTTAAATAAAGACTAACTTCTTGAGATTTTTACTTTTTTTATTTTTACTTAGTATGTCATTGTCAACTCTGTTATTACTTTTCAAGAAAGTTGTTTCAAGATAATAAGTAGTTATTTTGTACGTCATCAGTTTGTCATAATAATTCGAAATAACCCAAAATTTGACATACCGGTTGACGAATTTGACACTCGTTGATATAAACTAAACTGGGAGGTTTATTTGAAAAAGCATACGAAAAACAGGGTTAACACCAGACCAGATCAAAATCCAGTAGAGAAGAGCACAATACATGGGAGCAGGAAAAATCATAGTCATAAACAAGCGCAGGTCAAAACCAAGAGATCTAGCTAACATGTAAACAAAGGCAATAGGGAATAACCCGAACGACAAAAAAGAGAAACAAAGCGGGTCAAAGACGGGATTAGCAGTAAACAAGAAAACGGCTCAGTGTGCACTGAGAACAGAGGCAATACTTCACCAGGTAACAGTGAAACAGACAGGCTTAAACACACAGCCATACAGGTGATGACAGTCAGTACTCAGGCGACTTGGATCTGCTGGTTGGCTGGTGATTGGTAGACAGAGTCACATGACTTGCCGAGGGATCTTGGGAGTTGGAGTTGAAAGTGTGACTCAAAAGTCTGAAAGTCTTTACGTTTTGTATTGAGTCTGCAATTTTAACTTCCAGTTTGTTTCGATGCCAAAGAAAGACAAAAACGTCAAAACCGTAACAGATTTTTTTATCTTAACGGGACAGAACACTGTTCTAAAGTTCTAAAGGATGAAATCTCTTATGTGTCCCTCAGATATCAGCTCAACAAGATGGTGGTAGACACGAACGCTGGTCCCCACGGCAACCGGACCGTCCTGTTCCTGGGTTCCAGCCGCGGGACCATCCTCAAATTCCTGATCGTCCCCAACCGGGACAACACAGCGTCCAACAACAATGTCTTTCTGGAGGAGCTGGAGGGCTACAACCCAGAGAAGTAAGGGTGGGAGATGGAGTGTGTGTCTTTGCTGCCGTTGTGTGTTGGAGTGTGTGTGGCGTGGTGAGGAACGCAGGGAGGGATCCAGCGGGGTAAACAGATGGAGCATTAGCTGCCTGGTGTCTCTGGCTGGAGGCAGTAATGAGCGTTTAAGCAAAAGTCACGTTAGCATGCTAATTATGTTAGCAAGTTAATTATGCCTCCCACCTCAGACTGTTGAGTCTCTGGCTCTGTGGTTCTCTTTCTCTCTCCTTGCTGATGAAAAGGAAAAGAGGTTTGCTTAAAGCCTTCAAAAACTGCTCTGTACATCCAAAAGTATCCAGACGCCCTGCTAATCACTGAGTTCAACTACACATTTAAAAAACATGGTTCTTCAAGGGTTCTTTAGAAAAGGCACCCACCACAAGTTCTATGTAGAACCATTTCACGCTTACATGGTTCTTTGCATGGTGAAGTGGCTCTTCAGATGGATGGAGAATGTGTTGTATATCGTTCTATTTAGAACCTTTTTTGAAAATGGTTCCGTGTAGCACAAAAAAGGTTCTGCTATTGTTACGATATTATGATGGTACTTGCTACAATAAAAGAACCCCTTTTGGTGCTGTATAGAACCATGTACCACACATTCTCTATCAATCTGAAGAACGATTTCACCATGCAAAGAGCCATTTAAGCATGAAGTGGTTCAATATAGAGCTCATGGTTCTAAATAGAACCATTCCATTTAGAAAAGAACCCTTGAGGAACCATTAAGAGTGTACTTTAAGATGCGCCCATTATGTTCATTGTTTGTATAATCTGAATGCACAGTTTGTATAATCTCCATAGAAAAGCATTGACCACTTGAACGGGACACTCTGGAGAAGCTGGACATGAGCCTAAGGTCACCATGGCCAATGCCAAGCATGGTCTAGAGGGGTCTAAAGCCCCCTAGCATTGGGCTGTGGAGCAGTAGAACTGTGTTCTCTGGAGTGATGGAGCTCCATCCAATACCTTTGGGATGAGTTGGAGCGGTGTTTGTAATTAATGATTATTAATTAATTAATTAGCTGATGTGTGTCAGCAGTGGATTCACCTTAAAGTAGCTGAGTAGCACTTTTGGACAGAGAGTGCCGGTTTCATGACTACACACTGAAAAAAGATGGTGCTTCAAGGGTTCTTTAGTAAAGAAAATGGTTCTATATAGAACCTTGAACACTCAAAGAAGCCTTTGCATGATTAAAGGGTTCTTTTCATCATGAAGTGGTTCTACAGATTGATGGAAACTGTGCATGAATGTGCTAAAGACAGTTCTGTGTAGAACCTTTTTGAAATGGGTTCTATATAGCAAGCAAAGGGTTCTTCTATTGTTAGGGGCTTGACACTGTAACAATAGAAGAACCCTTTTGGGTGCTATATAGAACCATTTTCAACAAGGTTCTACATAGAACCGTCTACAGCACGTTCTCCATCAGTGTGAAAAACCCTTTCATGATGCAAAGAACCCTTTAATCATGCAAAGGCTTCTTTGAGTGTTCAAGGTTCTATATAGAACCATTTTCTTTACTAAAGAACCCTTGAAGCACCATCTTTTTTTTGAGTGTAGGCTTAAAGGGGAATTCAGATTTTTCAAAATGTGTAATTCACTGTTTGAGGTGTAAACAGAGAGATTCAGAGTGGTTTGGTGTGAAATGGTTCAGATGTCTTTACAGTGGTGGTGATAGGAACCAGGGGTCGCCATGACTACAACACAAATATAGACATTTTATTTACTATCCAGAACCACCAGTGAACCTACACAAGTCTTCTGAGTTTATATGGAATGTTGATGATGGGAAAATAGTGATAAATCTGAAAGTCAGTTTTCTTTGGGGACTATTTTACCCTGAATGAATCCCTCCACCATGAATGGGTTTTAAAAATATGTTTTAGGACAAAAACTACCATAAAACAGACTTCAGGCAGCGTATTCATAACCATTTCATGTAACTTTGTGAGGGAGCTTTTAGAGGCGTTAAGTGCTTCGGACGTCTGGTTCGTATCACCACCACTGTAAACAGACTCTTACTAGGCAAGCATCTCTAGAACGAAGCATTTCACATCAAACCATGCTGAATCACCTTGTTTGTAGCTTAATGTTTTAATGAATTCCCCTTCAATCCCCGTCCAGGACACTGGCCCATATGTAAATAGAGTCTTCGGCTAGCTGAGAAAACCGTATAAAACTCTTTATATGGGTAATACATGTGCTTTAGTGTAATACAGTAAAAAAAGGAAGCAATTCCATCAGCAGCACCTGATTTAATGAAGGGTTGATTAATGATGGAGGAACTGGATGGAAAGTAAATACTGGACTTCTTCGAGGAGAGATCTGGAAATGGTTAATACACAGACACACATACAATTACTATTTACTGAATTCATGTTCATTTGTGAGTTCAGACCGTACCTTAAACATGGCGGTGGTAGTATGAGGGAAGACTGATTAAGGGAGGGGGAGAACTCTGAGAACTGGGGCTGGAGTTCTGGGCAGCTTCCGCCTGTAATTAGCAGGCCGGTCCCCCTCATAGCCATAGCAGGACCGATGTAGGACTGAGGAACAGGGAGGAGATGGGGTGGCGGTGGGGACTGAGAACACTTTGTCACAGTAACGGAAGGTGAGGATGTGAATTCATAGGGCGTTAGATTGGAAGAGGGAGGGGTTTCAGCCATGCTCCTCCCCCCAAACAAGAGAGAGCAAATCATACCTGTCCAGGCTTCATTACACTGGTTACAGTCCAGCCTCTGTAAGTAGATTTTAAGGTGTTGCTGCTGCTTATTTTAGAAGCATGAAATGGATGAGCACCATCATACATTACGGACTGTCTGTCTCGGAGAACCCAGAGTCGTTCTCTGAGATCCAGCACTGCGTAACGCACCGCCAGGCAACAGGAACAGATGCAGTGATGCAGTGTTTTTGCTTTTACACACAAAAAAAAGAGCTATTTATTCACTGAGATTAGACAGCCACAGTACATCATTTTAATTTTGAATTTTAATATCTTTTTTTAACAACTATTATTGTTCTACTGTTATCTATTCTGTTTTTTACTATTCATACTGTGATCATTAATATTATTATGGATTTATTATCTGTTTGTTTTATCTGTACTATGTTTTAATTTATATTTCATTACTATGTATTTACTTGTTTATTTATGTATTTTTAATTTGCTCTTTTATTTGGTATTTTTATGTTACGCTAATAATCTTACTGTTTATCATTTTTATGTTATTACACCATCATTTTTTTTATTTTTCTGCAGCCTCTGTGAAGGACTTTGATATATTACATAAACAGCCGTGTGCAGAAGTTTGTGCGCCCCAGTCGAATTCTATGCATTTATTGATTTTCTGAGTGTAAAAAAGTGAACACATCCTCTACAGAGAACACACTTCCGCACATTTTAACACATGATTACTGTTTATTTGCTGAATTTAACATATTAGACACAAATAAAACATAAAAAGTGACCAGTGCAAAAGATAGGGCACTTTTTATCTTTTTTTCTAATATGTTAAATTAAAAAAAAATAATAATTGTGCATTAAAAGGAGCAGAAGCGTGCGCTCTTTAGAGGATGCGTTCACTTATGTTGACTTAGAAAATGAATCAAACATGATATTTGAAGGGGGGTGTTGAAACATTTGCGTATGACTGCATGAAAGGTGCTAAGAAAATTAGGATTTTTACTATTATTGTTGTTGTTGATTGTAATGTTATCTATTGATTTTATGAGCTAAAAACAGCCCAGATAAATAACTTTAAATATAATTATCTCAGGTGGCTCAAACTGTACTTTTTTTTTTACCCTACAAACACAGAATAATCTCCACCTACATAGCAGGTGCAAGTGTGAGCGGGCGAGAGACAGAGAGAGAGAGACTGGAGCTAAGAGCCAATTAGGGCTAATGCACAATGCCAGACTGAGCTTTGATGTGTATCAGAACAAAGCCGCTGTTTCCGTGTGCGATGGAGAGATTTGAGGCGTTTTCTGAAGCGCTTTTAAGTTTCATTGTTTCTTTTTATTTTATTCTCCGCGAGATGAAACAGTTGCGGTTCAGGAGCGATAACAGACTGAAATTCAGTGATTGGGTGGAGTTACCCTGAGTCAAATCCCACGATGTGTTGGTTTTCTAAGTGAAAATAAGTTAACACGTCCTCTGCAGAGAACACACTTAACAGAGCATGTTTCTGCCAGTTTTAGTGCACAGTTTCTGTTTTTGTTTTGAATTTGCTGCTTTTGTGATGTCACAAAACCACATTTACATATAATTCACCTAACCAGCCTGCAGCGGTTTAGCCGCACCTATTCACTCTGATGTCATAAGGAATGTTTGAGCTCTGATTGCTTTCTGAATGAGGCGCAATACAGGGCAGCCAATCAGAACAGAGCTCATTTACATGTATGTCATAAAGGTACAGTAGCAAAAACAGCTTGTTTGATTCTGAGAGGTTGGAAAATGGTAAAAATGGACTATGATTGTTTTTGGTGCACAAAACCACACAAATGTCACAAATGAATGAAGCCTAAACATTGGAACATTGCTGTGAGAATTTGATTGAGCATTAGCGAGGTCACTGATGTTGGATGATCAGTTCTGCCAAGCGTCAGCTAGAGCCATGACCACTCAAAGAACCTTTTGAATGATTAAAGAGTTCTTCATCGCGACAGTGTTCTTCAGATTGATAGAAAATGTGCATGAATGTGCTGTAGATGGTTCTATATAGAACCCTTTTGAAATGGGTTACATGTAGCACCCGAAAGAGTTATTCTGTTGTTAAAAACAACATGAACGCGCAAACAACGTGAAAGTGCTATAAACGGTTCTATATAGCACCCAAAAGGTTACCGTAACAATAGAAGAATCCTTTTTGGTGCTATATAGAACCATTTTCAACAAGGTTCTTTATAGAACCATCTACAGCACATTCATGCACATTTTCTATCAATCTGAAGAACTCTTTCATGAAGCAAAGAACTCTTTTATCATTCAAAAGGTTCTTTGAGTGTTCATGGCTCTACATAGAACCATTTTCGTTACTAAAGAAACGTTGAAGCACCATCTTTTAAATGATTAATTAATTAAGGAAGCTGTGTGTGTCAGCAGTGGATGCACTTTAAAGAAGCCGAGGGACAGAGGGCCGGTTTCATCGCTACACACTTAATAAAAAAATGGTGCTTTGAGGGATCTTTAGTAAAGAAAATGGTTCTATATAGAACCCTTAACACTCATAGAACCCTTTGCATGATTAAAAAGTTCTTTGCATCATGACAGCGTTCTTCAGATTGAAGAAGAATGTGCATGAATGTGCTATAAGCTCGTTTATATAGCACCCAAAAGGGTTACCGTAACAATAGAAGAATCCTTTTTTTATGCACATCTTGTCTAATCTCCAGCCTAAGGTCACCGTGTCCAGTGCCAAGCGTGGGCTAGAGGGGTATAATGTCCCCCAGCATTTGGCTGTGGAGCAGTGGAGCTGTGTTTTCTGGAGTGATGGAGCTCCATCCAGTACCTTTGGGATGAGTCTGTGATCCAGAACTGACATCCAACGTCAGTACCTGACCTCACTAATGCTCAATCAGATCCTCACAGCAATGTTCCAACATCTAGAGTAAAGCCTTCCCAGAAGAGGAGAGGCTGTTATTGCAGCACAAACTCACTATTAACACCTTCATTTCAGAAGAAACACTGAGTGTCTAAACTTTTGGACACATTTTAAAGCTGTGTCCGAGCCGTCGTTAGCAGAGCCTTTCATGATTTTCTCGGGCTGAAGGGTGAGTCACACTTATCAAATGAGCAGAAGAGTGTGAGGGCGAGATGAGAGGGAGAGGGACAGCAAATGAAGGAGTGATTGAATGAAGAGAGAGCAAGAGAATGGAGAAAAAGAAGGTACTTTAGGCTCGAGAGAGAGAGGCAGACAGAGAATATAAAAAGGGAAAGAGGAGGGTTAATTTAGACTCTGCAGAGAGGTTGAGAGGAAAAGGAAGAGACGGAGAGAGAAAGAGAAAAGAGCAGAAAGAGAGCGAACAGGTCTATAAATACAGTGGAGGACATTAGTGAGGGACGAGGTGCTTCTGTATGGGAGAGACGGAGAGGGATGGAGCGACGGACACGGATGAAAAAGTGAAGGCGGTACGGAGGCCTGCGTGTTGAAGGAGTGCCGAGAGTGAGGCATGACTCCAATTAAAGTCTACAGCTTCACCTCGCATGTCATTTTCAGCCTCATTACCGCACACAGCCGACAGAGTGGACGGTTTGATCCGGACGTGCGTGCCGCTGAGGGACGGCGGAGGTGAATCGAGGCCAGAGCGGAGGGTGTGATCTGATTACCTTATTCACTCCTGCCTGATTTAGCCGACTCCCTGCTGAGCTCCGGCCTCGCCAAACCCCCAAGGGCGCCCGACCGGCGGCGCAGGTTTAGTTTTAGAAGTCAACGGTCCGACATTCTGTACGGCAACAGCTTAGGTCAATGATAAAGCGCAGATATTGTACACTTTTCTTGTATTTAATAATTTCCCCGGAGGTCCACTTACGATGTTTGTGGTTTTATGCGGCAAAAACAGCTCAAATACATATTTTACATCACAGTTTTTGGGTAACACTTTATTTGGATAGTCCACTTTAGATGCTTTGTAGATACTTATTTACTTTCAGGTTACATTAAGCTGAATTTCTACTAAACTGACCAATTTTCTTTAACTCTAATCCTAACTCTAACCTCAACCTCAACCCAAAACCTAAACCCAACCCTCACCCTGGTCCAAATCCTAACCCTAATCCCACCACTGTTTAGAATCAACAGATAGTTTTAACAATTTGAACATCTGTAGATAATCTATAGGGGTCGATAGTGGACTATACAAATAAAATGAGACCCCATTTTTCTAGGGCTGAACAATTTGGGGAGAATATCTAGTTGCAATTTTTCTTACTAATATTGTGACTGTGATTTAAATTGTGATTATTTTCTATACATTAAGGTTCAGGCCTGTTTTTTGCCAGTAAGACCAGAACATCCACTTTCTCAGGCTTGAGGCTCGACCTCTGAATGTAGTGAGCCAGACGGCCAGTAAATTGTGCTTGTGATGTCACAACACATGGGGGTTTGGCTGCCTCTGATTGGTCTAACTTATATACAGGTGGTTCACAAGCTCTGTGTTATTAGGTTAAATTTCCCCACTTAAAACTTAAGACAATGTTTTTGATAATATAGGCTATAAACTTTTTTTAAAAATTGCAGCTCTTGTGATTTGAAAAGCTCTCTTAAACTGCAATTTTGATACAAAAAGGATTAATCTTTCAGTCCTAATATATAATATATACCCCGAAATATACACTATATATCGCTGCTGTCAGAACAAAACCTCGTATCTCCATTTTTGTCGTTTTTAATTTTTTGACATAGTTTGAATATGTATGTTTTCCTTTATGCTGTGTGTAAATTTCACGATGAATGGAAAGCCTGAAATTACTTGGAAAAAAGTCTGGTTCCATTGACTTCCATTAAAAGTAAAGTAGGTTTTTTCCTTCTCCTGTAAAGTTACCATTTTGGAGATACGAGGTTTTGTTCTGACAACAGCGACACACTGACATATTTAAATGACCTCTGTTCTGATGCCCTGTACAGTTGCCTCATTCAGAACGCAGTGCAGACTGAAACACTACTTATAACTTCAGTCTGAGTGGGTGGGGCGAAGCTTCTATAGAGTAAGTAGGTGGATGTAAGCAAATGACATCACAGAAACAATGAATTCAAAATAAGCTGTTTTTGCAGTTTAGTTTCTGTATATGGACTGTATGGACTGCTATGCTTTGAAACAATGTTTACATATTACATCAAACTCTATTAGTGTAGAAATCAAGATTTCTATAAAATGGGCCTTGAGCTACCGCAACTACATCACCACATTTTTAATGTATAGTTATAGCGCTGACAGATAACGATATAAATACTTTCAGGTTTGATTCGATTTTCACAGTTTTATGTGGTAAAATTAGCGATGTAACATAAACAGCTGTGGAAATAACTCAACGTTATTGCTGTAGCCGCCACATTAGCCCATATTAGGAACACCAGATTTTCCCTACTTGTTTGAAATAAGAGCTTGATAAAGTATGAAAACACTCTGTCAGGCTGTGCTGGTTAAGCTGTAACTTTAAGTTGTGTCATGTTAAGTTTGTTAATGTGAACTGTGCTAAGCTGTGCAGCATTAAGACAACCTGTGTTAAACTGAGTTGTGTAAAATTGCTGTGCTAAGCTGTGTTGAGCTGTGTAAAAACCTGACACTGTTTTAATGTGTCCTGTGCTAAACTGTGCTGTGTTAAACTGAGCTGGGTTAAAATGTGCTGTGTCAACTTTACTGTGCTAAGCTGTGCAGTGTTAAACTGTGCTGTGTTAAACTGTGCTGTGCTAAGCTGAGCTGTGTTAAACTGCCCTGTCTTAAACTGTCCTGTGATAAACTGAGCTGTGTTAATCTGCCCTGTCTTAAACTGTCCTGTGTTAAACTGAGCTGTGTTAAACTGCCCTGTGTTAAACTGTGTTAAGCTGCCCTGTTTTAAACTGAGCTGTGTTAAACTGAGCTGTGTTAAACTGGGCTGTGTTAAACTGCCCTGTGTTAAACTGTGTTAGGCTGCCCTGTTTTAAACTGAGCTGTGTTAAACTGGACTGTGTTAAACTGCCCTGTGTTAAACTGCCCTGTGTTAAACTGAGCTGTGTTAAACTGGGCTGTGTTAAGCTGCCCTGTGTTAAGCTGTGTTAAGCTGCCCTGTTTTAAACTGAGCTGTGTTAAACTGAGCTGTGTCAAACTGGGCTGTGTTAAACTACCCTGTGTTAAACTGCCCTGTGTTAAACTGAGCTGTGTTAAACTGAGCTGTGTTAATCTGCCCTGTGTTAAGATGCCCTGTGTTAAACTGAGCTGTGTTAAACTGAGCTGGGTTAAACTGAGCTGGGTTAAACTGATCAGTGTTAAACTGTGCTATATCAGTCTGAGCTGTGTTGTGCTAAACTGTGCTGTGTTAAATTGTACTGTGTATGCTGCACTGTGTTAAACTGAGCTGTGCTAAGATAAGCTGTGTAAAATCGGGCTGTGTTTAATAGTGTTATCTTAAACTGTGCTTTTTAAGCTGTGCTATGTGAAACTGAGCTGTAAGCTGAGCTGTGTTAAGATAGGCTGTGTTTAATAGCGCTGCATTAAGCTAGACTGTGTTATGCTGTATTTTGTGCATCTTATCTGTAGTGATCTCTGTGTTGTTGTGTTGCAGGTGCAGTCAGGACACTCCTCAGGCCCGGCAGCTGCTGTCTCTCTCTCTGGACTCCATCAGCCACACCCTCCTGCTGGCCTTTCCGTCCTGTGTGGTCAGAGTGCCTGTAGCCCGCTGCCAACTTTACTCCCGCTGCATGAAGTGAGTGATACGCACACACACACTACGGAGTGGGCAAAATGACAGCACATTATCGTTATTGTGAAAACTGTGTCAACATCGGTGGAGAAACCTCAGGGACGTCTAGGCCTCAAGAGAAGGCCAGAACTAAATGAACTTAATGAACTGCAGGTTCATTAAGACTTGGGCTCAGTTTCTGAGCTGCTGAGCTGACGTTGAGTGTTTATGTTGGTTGAACTGCAGCTGAAATGTAGTTAGTGTGTTTGGTGATATGACTGGTGTGTAATTGTGCAGAATTGTGTAGAATTGAGGTGTAACCATTGCCCCATAGATTGTTGTTGGAGTAGGAGAGTCAGAGCGCACATTACGTTGCAGTGCATGCTGGGGACTGTAGTGCAGCACATTGTGAAACAGGCTAATATTAATAGTAAATTAAAATACTTTTGCAGGCCAGATAAGCTTGTGTCCTGGGCCTGATATCACAAGTAACACAAGACAGAGAACAGCAAGATTCAGATCGTTCGGTGGACATTATCGCAGTTATTATACGTCATAAAATCTGCCCAGTCAGTTGTAACTTTTTACCCATATAACCTTTGTTTACATCTTTTGATTCAGTGTTAAATAGAACAAAAATGTACCAGTTTATCATTTTCTATCTTTGTTTTGAACTACAAGTACCAGCACGTCCTTAGTTACTGCAAATTGACAAAGACAACATGATCATCTGTATTAGAAACAGCTTTAGTGTCCCCAAACTTTTGATGGGCAGTTTGTACAGACTCCCAGGGGGCACGCGCAGACCTAGTGAGGCGCACTCTTCCACACGTCAGCCGTGTGACGAGCCCGCTGAAGCAGGTAGATCATGCGTGTGTGAAGTGCAGCAGAATGGAACGTCATGTCGTCTGGGGATTTAACCACAATCTGTGTTTTTCTTTCGTTCCACAGAAACTGCATCGCCTCTCGGGACCCTTACTGCGGCTGGACCAGGGGGAGCACCTGCTCCTTCCTCCGCGCCGGCACCAGGTAGGCCAGGGAGTGTACAGGAAATAACCTGCGCTATTGGTAGATCATTTTGCTTGGAGGAATTAAAACTGCCAGTGGATAAGATACAATTAAAGTAGTAGATTAGTCTTATAATATTCTCACTACAGCATCTTAATGAGATACAGTTGGTGCAGTTCATGCTAAAAAAATGAAAAATGTAATGAAAAGTGTCTTTGTGGTTAATGAGCTCAAACTCACAGTGAAAATATGAGAGGAATTTAACTTCAAGTGAAGTAAGTTTAGTCTAAGAAAACAAAAACCCTTCACTGTTTATTGGCACCCCTTAAAAATTCTAACAAAACTGACTTCTGATTTATATTTCACTTGAGTGAAACCTGAGTGTTCAGGGACTCTTAGGCGGTCATCCATGATGTCCCGTTTCACCGGATACAAATATAAGGTTACACAGAGGCCAAATTCCCTCATTCATCAACATGGGAAAGATCAGAAACTACACAAATAAAATGAGACAAATGTGCACTGACCTTCATAAATCAGGCTATTGCTAAAAAAATTGCCTAAAAATGCCCACTGTAATAACTTAGCAGTTTAAAACAACCGGAGCCGTAGTGCACTCCAAAAATTGGTATCTTGTCAAATAAAATTATCTTAAATAGAGTCAAGAAATCTAATTTTTCTCTTGTTGAGATTGTTGAAAGCTTAATTTAAGATTATTTAACTTATTTCTAGACATTTTTACTTGTTTTAAGTCATTTTATTAAGTAAAATTCTCACAATATTGGCAGATAATTGTGCTTGTTGTAAGAAATGAGCTTAAAACCAGCAAAATTATCTGCCAGTATAGTGAGATAATTTTACTTAATGAAATGAGCTCCAACAAGTAAAACATTTCTGGAAATGAGCTAGATACCCTAATAATAAGTGCAGAAACATCTCAAAATGGGAAATGTTCTGTATATAGACTATATTTAGGATCATTTTACTTGACAAGATACCATTTTTGCAGTGTAGACCTGCCTGGAAGAGGTTGCATGTTTATTTTACCTCCATACACAGTGAGGAGACAGTTAGGGAGGCAAAAATAGTATTCTCCAAAGATCATGGTTGGAAGAGTAGCATTTTGGGGTCTCCAAAACTACGATTAGATGCCGCCTCCATGGGAAGGGCTTACTCGTAGAAAGCTTTTTCTTTCTTCTAACCACAAATGTTGACCAGGCGCTACTGGAACTTTGACTGGAACCAGGTTCTGTGGTTAGATGAGACAGAAATAGAGCTTGTTGCACTCAAGGTGGGTTTGGCGTAAAATAAGAAGGATGTTTATATAAGAATGGTGGAGGATCTGTGATGTTTTGGGGCTGCTTTTTCCTTCAGAGATTCTGGAAACCTTGTATGCTGAACTTCATGAAATATTAGAGGAGTTTAAATGAAAATCTGGCTGCGTCAGATACAAAAAGGCAAAAAGACTAAGTCTGGGTTGTGGGTGGGTCGTCCGCTGATCCACAGTCCACACAAAAATAATCCAGTGACTATAGAATTCACTGGTGTATACAGATGTGTATATTGTGTATATGTGTACGCAGCGTGATTCAAAAAGATTCATCCGGTTTCAAAATGATTTATTTCACTTTTAAATCATTACAGATCAATTCAGTAAACTGTAAATGGTTTAAATGAGCATAAAGTTTATTATGTAATTGTACAAGGTCTCAGTATGAACCTCCTCCAGCTGTACAGACAACATCAACACCATAGTCAAACTCATCCCATACTGGATTGAGCATGTCGGGTGTCGCTGCACTCACGGCTCTTTCAGTGCGATTTCGGAGATCATCCAGTGTTGTGGAACCAACGACGAACGCTCTGAGCTGTTGGAGGTTCACTGCCCATGAAACTCCTGTTGAGTTTGTGTCTCACGTCTACAGGATTGTCTGAAGATGTTTAGTGTTGATGTTTACCCTGTAGTGTGTGTTGGTGTGTGTGTGTTTGTGTACACAGACAAGCAGATGCTCAAGGGAAAAAAGGACAACATTAACGTGAATTAAAGGTGGAGTATATTGACCGACTGATTCTGTGAAACAGCAAAAATAAGTTAATGTAACCCACCTGTCAAGCAGAAACAGAGCAACCTCCTCATCCCCCTTCATGCCTTTCAACTCTCTATGAAGCTGAAGTCACCCTCAGATGCCAGAATGTAACTGCTGCACCATTTAAGGTAGAAAGTTCAAACAAGAAGCTGGCAAATAAGAAGCTGACTTCTGATTAATCGAAAAGCTGGATGCAAAGTTTGGCTGGACGATGAGCCAGGAAACTTTTCACTGCTGAAGTGGAGTTTGACCGGGCCGCAAGCCAGGAGGCTTTTCTCTGCAGAAGTGGGGTTTGACTTGGTGACAAGTTTAGAGACTTTTTTGCCATAGTGGGGTTTGACTGGGCCATGAGCCAGAAAATTTTCGCAGTGGTAACAGAGTTTGACTGGGCAGCAAGCTGGAAGATTTTAACCACAGTGATTTCACTGGGCCGTGAGCCAGAATGTTTTGACCACCATTGTGTTGAGTTTGACTGGGCAGTGAACTGGAATAGTTTTACCCCTGTAATGACGTTGAGCCCAAATATTTTTACCATGGTAGTGCAGTTTGACATTGCAAGCAACAGGAATATTTTTACCATGGTAGTGACATTTGACTGGGCCATGAGCCGGAATATTTTCACCATGGTATTGACGATTGACTCAGCAATGACCTGAAATATTTTTTACCCTGGTAATGTTTGACTGGGCCATGAGCCGGAATACTTTTACCATGGTAGTAAGGTTTGACTGGGCCATGAGCCAGAATACTTTTACCGTGGTAGTAAGGTTTGACTGGGCCATGAGCCAGAATACTTTTACCGTGGTAGTAAGGTTTGGCGGGGCCATGAGCCAGAATATTTTTACCGTGGTAGTAAGGTTTGACTGGGCCACGAGCCGGAATATTTTTACCATGGTAGTGAGGTTTGACTGGGCCATGAGCCGGAATACTTTTACCATGGTAGTAAGGTTTGACTGGGCCATGAGCCAGAATACTTTTACTGTGGTAGTAAGGTTTGGCGGGGCCATGAGCCAGAAGATGGTAGTGGAGTCTGGGCAGCGAGTTGGAAGAGCACCACAGTAGTGAAGCTGACTGGGCCATGGGGAGGGAGACTTTTCATTGTGGTAGCAGAGTGTGACTGGACCACAGGCAAAACAACTCTTGACTGTTTAAACAGGGATATGAACCTTAAAGTCCTGTGTACAAGTTTACTGTGAGGTTACTGTGCTTTGTTTATTTGTTTATTTGTTTGTTTGTTTGTGTGTGTGTGTTAATGTTGTTGATGGCTTGGTGTCCTCATATATATTTAAAGAACCAGGGCTTCATACAGCTGTGTGCTGAAAGCAGTTCAGTGTGACTGTCAACATTAACATTAATGTTAATCTGCAGTGAGATTAATATATAATCATAAACTCATTAGTGCAGTGTGTAGAGATATTACTAATCTGAACATTCTTTCTTTCTTTTCTCCCCCCTCTGTCTCATTCTCCTTTCTCTCTGTTTCTTTCTCCCTGTTCCTTCTCTCTCTCTCTCAATTTTTATCTGTCCCATTCTTCCCCTCTCTCTCTGTCTCTCTCTCTCTCTTTCTCCCTTCCCTGTCTCATTGTTCTTTCTCTCCCTTTCTTTCCCCCTCTTACTTCTCTGTCTCACTTTCCATTTCTGTCCTATTCTCTCTCTCTCCGTCTCTCTTCCTCTCTCTCTCTCCTTCCCCTTTTGTTCTCTCTCTGTCACTCTCCCTTTCTCTTTCTCTTGCTCCCTCTCTCTTTCTGTCTCTCTCTTCTTCCTCTTTCTCTCTCTCGCTCTCTCTCTCTTCCTCTTCTCTCTCTTTCTCCCCTCTCTCTCCTTCTTCTTTCTCTCGCTCCCTTTCTTTCTCTTCTTCCTCTCTCTTCCTCTCTCTCCTTCTCTCCCCCTGTCTCTGTCTCTCTCCTTCCTCTCTTTCTCTCTCTCTCTTCCTTCTCTCTCTCTCTCCCCCCTCTCTCTCCTTCTTCTTTCTCTCGCTCCCTCTCTTTTTCTTCTTCCTCTCTCTTCCTCTCTCTCTCCTTATTCTTTCTCTCGCTCCCTCTCTTTCTCTTCTTCCTCTCTCTTCCTCTCTCTCTCTCCTTCCCCCCTCTCTCTCTCTCCCCTCTGTCTCTCTCTTTTCTGTCTATCTCTTGTTACTCTCTCTCTCTCTCTCTCTCTTTCTCCCTCTCTCTCTCTCCTTCTTCTCTCTGTCTCTCGCTCTTATGAAACTGTATCTATAAGTTAAGGCCTCTTTATTGAGTTATGTGTGTAAATACAGGTTGTCTGGCAGTTAAATTTAAAAAGTATCATACACACAGACACACACACACACTCACTCACACACACACACACACACACACACACTGTTATCTGTTTACACTCCTCACACACACTCGCTCCGTTCTCTCCGTTTAACGAGGGCAGTCAGATCGATTCCATATCACATAACACTAAAAATGTTTTAGTGTCTATTTCAGATAACTGATACACACACACACACACACACACGCACACACACACACACACACACACACACATTAAATATGTAAAATAAACAGGTTGAGAATCTCTCGGAGGGATCTGGGGGATCTGTTTCTCTGGAACGTTCCGGATGCTCTGCCTGGCCTTCAGTTTCACAGAGCTGCTATTGTTGTGTGTAGAGCAGGCAGAGCCGAATCCGTCAGCTCATTTAAACTCATTTAAACTCTCCTGCTCTCAGCCTGCTCTGGTGGAAGTGTTTGTTTTTGTTCATTTTCAGGGCCACTTTGTAAGAAACCTGGAGAAAACCTGCAATATTAGCACCAAAATACTTGCAAAAGTCATATATATTTCACTTTTTATTATCAAACATTGGCCAGTCATAACACAATATTTACATTGTCGGTACGTTTTATGATGAATGGGCCAATAGAAATGATGCAGAATAGGCAGAATTTTGGCAAAATAGACTTTTTATTCACCAGCTTTGTATTGGAATTTGCCGTTCCACCTTAAATGCTGCAGCAATCAGGCGCCGAAATGTAACTGCTGCACCATTTAAGGTGGAACAGAAAATTCAAATAAGACTTTGTTTGCGAAAACACATCATTTTGCTGTATTTTCTGTAAACTTTGTTCGGTTCATTCGTTTTGGTTTCTGTTGTCATCTAAATTCAGTTCAAGCTAGCAGTTGTTTTTAGTGCTGAGCTAGTTTTTATTTTAATCCTGTGCAGCCAATGTTCCCAAAAATCATCCAAAATTATCTTCATATTAAAAGCTTTTTTAAATTAAGTTCAGTAGTATTTTTAAAACTCTTTTCATATGTAGTTGCATGACTCTTTATGTATACAGTAGCCTGTCATGACCATCGGTGTACCATGGATTTTGTATTGTTAAGGCTGGCTTACTGTTACTGTTCAGTGTTATGGCCTTAAATTAGCTGAAGAATGCAGACTGACATGTTTAGGACTCAAAGATTAGGACTACTGACTTGAGACTCGCCTTCACTAACTCGGGGCTTGAATCGAGACTCGACTATCTTGACTTGAGACTTGAGTGTGAAGACCTGAGGCTTACTTGTTGCTTGCAACTTAGTGACTTGTTCCCACCTCTGCTAATTACTTGTTAGCTGCGCAGCCCCAGCGCAGAACTAAAGACGCAAGCTCTAGACACCAGACGAGTCTCGGCTGATGGACTTCAGAGGTAAAGCGGGGTAAACAGTGCAAATTTGCTATTCCTTTAAAGATTGTGTATCTGTGTTGGAGAGGACGGTTCAGTGAAGGTTGGTGCTGCCTGCAGGGACTTATCCACCGTTTTAGCTTTATCATTGGAAAGAAGCCATTTCAGAGTCGGCCCGTGGTCGTTTTTCTTCATTAGAGGAGCTTAAGGGTAGCCGCTGTCTCTTAATAGAGCTCTGTGATGTTTCTCAGAGTGTGTGCGCGAGAGACGTGATCAAGAGCGAGCTGCTCCGTTTGAAAAAGATGCAAAAGTGGTTCTTTGTGTTCCTGAAGTCCTGAAGTTGTTATTCTTCTTCTCCTCGTACCTTTTTTCATCAAATTTCCTCTTTGATTTCCATTATTGCTAATTATCAAAGCAGCGCTGAGAGCAGCGGGGCAGAAGAGTAAGATGTTTTTGTTCAGACAGGCTAACGGTACCAGCGGCGTTTTCTGACGGAACGCACTGTCTGTTAGTGCTGATGATTTCCTGTTTTATTTTTATTGAAAGCAATCCTCAGTCAAATACTGGCGACTGGTCCTTAATGCAACACTATTTTAGTAGTTCTCATGAACATTTTCTAAGACCCATAATCTAAAAACAGCAACATTTAAAGCTGCACAGTGTAAGATTTCTTTATTGAAACTGAAAGAAGGAGCATTAATGAGTCAGGAGGAAAAAAAGATGATGGTATATGGGTCGAATTTGGTGGGAGTTTTTCTGACCATGTAGTACATTTTTACATTTTAACGTCACGTTCACAGGCTCAATAAGAAGCTCCGGCTCGATGTTTAGGTCTCAAATGATCCCAAAATCAACATGAAGATGTGATGACAGTAGTAAATAATTCACTCACATCCTCAGAGACGCTCCTTCACCAAGTTTAGACTGAGTTCTGTTTGAATTCTCCTTCAATCATCACATTCATCCACTCAGGGAAGGGGGCCAAAGCATAACCCATGCTACAAAATGTTTTTCCACACGTTGCATGCAATTGCACATTTCCGCCAGAGGGGTCTCCAAATCCCCAAGTCTAATATGCTGCAGCTTCAAAGTAAACTACATACTTAAAAATGATGTTTCTTCAAGGGCTCTTTAGTAAAGATTGCATGATTAAAGGGTTCTTTGCATCGTGAAAGCGTTCTTCACATTGAAAAGAGTTCTTTTTTGAAAAGTTCTGTATAGCACCAAAAAGGGTTCTTCTATTGTAACAAGCCTGACATCGCAGTAACAGATGACTAGGGAAGTTCTATCTTCAATTCACAGATCTTACATAGATTTTTACACCATTATTTAAATCTTACATAGTGATGATTTGACCAATGAAGCTTTCATGCAGTTTATGGGAATGTGTAGCCTGTTCATGTGGATTTCTGATCAAAGTTTTTTTGGTTTCTCTGTTTTTTCTCCAGGCTTCCCTTCGAACAGGACGTAGATCATGGAAACACCTCTTACTTGGGCGACTGTGACGGTAAGTGGAGGTTTTTATGGTTTTACTGCTATTAACTGCTTACGCGCTGTAAAATAAAGGCCGCTTTTCCACTGCATGGTACGGCTCGACTCGACTCAGCTCAACTCTACTCGCTTTTGGTACCAGCTCTTTGGTTTTCTGCTGCAGATATAGCGCCCCCTCAATGCAGCTGGTCATCATAACAACACCAAATGGAACTGCCATGGTGTGAATTTTGTTTATGACGTAAATGTTGTTCAGATATCAGCAAGACAAAAGACGGCTGAAAAAACGAGGAGAGTTTGGGAAAAACTACACCAGAGTTCAGGCAACGAGACGATTCTGATTGCTTAAAAACAACACGAGAGGTAATGCTAGCCTGGCAGCTAACGTTAGCATACATGTTTAGCAGTTCTCTCCGACCAGATCCACAGATCAGTGATCTGTAGCGTTTTTACATCACCTGTTGGTATCAGCTCAGCTCGCTCGATGGAGGTGATACCAAAAAAGGACCAGGTACCAGATTTGCCTAGTGGAACCACAAAGGCAAGTAAAGTCGAGTTGAGCCAAGCCGCTACCATGCAGTGGAAAAGCGGCCACTGCGGTTGAGGTCAGTTTTACAGTCTGAGTGTCCGTGTGGGGTTACACAGAGCCATAGAGAGTCTTTACACGCCTCGCCTGTCGATAGCTTCGGTGTAATCAGAGTCAGAATTTTTTATTTGACACAAAATTGGTACAAAATAGAAATGATTCCTGTTGGTGCAGATTTTAATAGAAATTTCAGTACCAGTGTAAAAAAAAAAAATATATATATATATATATATATATGTAAAATATCCAACACACACATTTACTAATGTACACAAATAACATAAAAGATGTGCATTGTTATGTACAGTCACATTATAAGTACTGACAGTTATAAAGAAACTGTAAAAAAAGGCTGGTAAGCTTTTGGAGTTACACCAGCGATGAATATGTGGCTGTTGTCTGAAGGAAACTTTGTATCTCCATTTTTGATTTTTTGAGTTTTTCATTTTTTAACATAATTTAAAAATGCCTGTTGCTCTTTACATTGTATGTAAATTTCATGAAGAATGGAGCAAAAGAAACGTCCCAAAACGACTTGGAAAGACGTCTGGTTCCATTGACTTACATTAGAAGTAAAGTAGGTTTTTTCCTTCTCCTGTAAAGTTTTTGGAGCTTCAAGGTTTTCTTCTGACAGCAGCGATATGGACTCTGTTTATGCATTGAACTCAGTTGAGACATAAAATTTGCCTTAAAAGTTTCCTTAAAACAACCTACAAAAGCACTCGTACATCAGAGAAATTGCTGTATGAATAAAACAATACTTTTGTTTTGTTGTCGCATCTTCTGCAAGCATTCTGAAAACCAAAGACAAGAACATGAATAGCTGAATGAAAAAACTATATTTTCAAGGTAATAATAATAAACAAACAGACAAGTAAATCAAACGAGTAGATCAGCTGTGCTGTCTTCGTATACGTGTGAGTGCCGGCCTTTGGTGTCATCATTAGCTCTGATCTCTGTTTCTTCTCCATTATTAACATTTATCTCAGAATAGTACCAGACTATTTCTCGGGGCAGACGTATGGGAGTATGAGCGTGTAATGTGTTTTACTGCAGCAAATCGATTGCGGAGTCAGAAACAGCGCCTCACGGCCGGCCGTCTTTGATCTGGCCGTTGGTTTCTGATGAATCGCTGGTGCAGGCTAATCTGCGAGCGCCACCAGCAGTGGAGAGGCAGAGACCTGCCATAACGAGCTTCAGCACACGCTTTACCGCTTTAATCCACTCTCCATCAGCCCGTTTGAAGTCGCTCTCTCGCTGCTTTCTCCTCTAATAGGCTTTGGGAGGTAATGATGACACAGAAAAAAAGGCACCGCTTCATTGTGTGGCTGCCAGCTAACTGTAAAGGCAGTCCCAGCCAATTACAGCGCAGCCGCACACCTTTACGTTCTGGAGGAAGAAGAAGGAGAAATTCACTCCGGAACATTTCGCTTCATGTTCAAACAGGTGTTCACCTCTGAGGCTCTAATAAGCAGACTGAAACATTTGTGCAGTGTGGCCTATTACACTGACTGGCCACTTTATTTGAAACCCCACTTACTGCTTCTGCTCATTGGCCACTTTATTAGAAACACTGAACTTGTTCTTCCATTCACTGGCCCCTTTATTAGAAACACCCACCCTGTGCTTTCACTCACTGGCCCCTTTATTAGAAACACCCACCCTGTGCTTTCACTCACTGGCCCCTTTATTAGAAACACCCACCCTGTGCTTTCACTCACTGGCCCCTTTATTAGAAACGCCCACCCTGTGCTTTCACGCACTGGTCACTTTATTAGAAACTCCTACCTTGTACTTCCACTCACTGGCCACTTTATTGGAAATACCTACCTTGTGCTTTCACGCACTGGCCACTTTATTAGAAACATTTACCTTCTGCTTCCACTAATTGGCCACTTTATCAGAAACACCCACCTTGTGCTTCCACTCACTGGTCACTTTATTGGAAACACCCACCTTGTGCTTCCACTCACTGGTCACTGTATTAGAAACACCTGCCTTGTGCTTCCACTCACTGGCCACTTTATTGGAAACACCTACATTGTGCTTCCACTCACTAGCCACTTTATTAGAAACACCTACCTTGTGCCCTACCTTGTGCCACTCACTGGTCACTTTATTAGAAACACCTACATTGTTCTTCCACTCATTGACCATTGACAGCTCAATGAGGGCTGAATAAATACGGTGGAGATCCATAAGCACAGCAGGAGGCAGAGAGAGAGAGTGAGAGAGAGACAGAATTGAGGGAGAAAATTAAAACAGAGATTGAGAGCAAGCTTAAAGAGGGAAAAAGAGATAGACGGTGGAAGAGAGAGAATGAGAATGATACAAAGGGAGAAAGAAGGAGAATGAGTGTCAGAGAAAGAGAGAAAGAAAGAATGACAGTAAGAGAGAGAGAGATGGACTTTTTGTAAGTTCGTGTCACATTAAGCACAATCCATTGTCATCATTCAAAAGACAAAATTCTTGTTTCTCTGTAATCTTTGACTGAAGTGATTTCCGCCTCTTAATGCTTACACACACACACACACACGCGCGCGCGCACACGCACACACACACACACACACACACACACACACACACACACACACACACAGTCCGTGTCTTACTCAGATGTTAGGTGATTCCACTCATGCACGGATTTATTTACCCTGACTTATTTTTTCCTGATGTTCCTCTGAAGTGTAAGAAAAATCATGTTTTAGAAACTACAGAAAATGCGCATCAAAATATTGGAGCACTTTTTTTCTGTGGAGAAAAATGCGTCTGATTTCCGATTCACGTTGACTTTGAGCAAGAAGGCCAGACGCCTGTTTGATGACCAGAGGCAGGACTGACAGACGGAGCTGAGGGACGGGGAGGAGACGGGGGTGCAGAATGTAAGGTAGAGAGGGAAGTTTATAGGATGTCAGACTGGAAGGAGGAGGAGCTTCAGGCTGTAGTTAAGCTGTAGTTATTCTACAGAGTGAACATAAAGGAAAGAGATGAATGGAAGATGGTGGAGGAGGAGTGAGGAGGGGTGAGGAGGAGTGAGAGAGTCAGTGTTGGGTTTACAGCAGTGACGGACAGAGTGTGAAGGTGAGAGTCTCCGATGTCACACACTCATCACCCCGACATCCGCCATTGTCTGACACCTCTCTCTCTCTCTCTCTCTTTCTCTTTTTCTCTCACCCTCCCTCTTTCTTTCTTTTTTTCTCTCTATATCACTTAATTCTTTCTTTCTCTCTCTCTCAATTCTCTCTGTCTCTTTCTCCCTCACTCTCTCTCCCCTTCTCTTAATTCGCTCTCTCTCTGCATTTTTTTTCTTTTAATTCTCTCTCTCTCCCTCTCTCTTATTTTTTCTCTCTATATTCCTTAATTTTCTCTTTCTCTCTCTCTGTCTCTCTTTTTCTTTCTGCGCCCCTCACTCTCTCTCCCCTATCTTTAACTCTACATCTCTCTCTCTCCTTTCCTCTCTCGCTCTCAATTCTCTCTCTCTTCATTTTTCCTCTCTCATTTTTTCTTCTCTCTTTGAGTCCCTCTCTCTCTGTCTCTCTCTCTCTCTCTCTCTCTCTCTCTCTCTCTCTCGTACCTGACCCGGTACGCCCCGCTGTCTGTCCTGCTTTGCGGGTGTGTGTGAGGATGTTAATTAGATGCGCTTGGCCACTCCTGCTGCGCTGAGCGAGTGCTTAGTGATGTGCTTCAGAACGGCAGGACGTTGGGCCGCTCTCTTCCTCTCCTCTTTCACGCACTGGTCACTTTATTAGAAACGCCCACCCTGTGCTTTCACGCACTGGTCACTTTATTAGAAACTCCTACCTTGTACTTCCACTCACTGGCCACTTTATTGGAAATACCTACCTTGTGCTTTCACGCACTGGCCACTTTATTAGAAACATTTACCTTCTGCTTCCACTAATTGGCCACTTTATCAGAAACACCCACCTTGTGCTTCCACTCACTGGTCACTTTATTGGAAACACCTACCTTGTGCTTCCACTCACTGGCCACTGTATTAGAAACACCTGCCTTGTGCTTCCACTCACTGGCCACTTTATTGGAAACACCTACATTGTGCTTCCACTCACTAGCCACTTTATTAGAAACACCTACCTTGTGCCACTCACTGGTCACTTTATTAGAAACACCTACATTGTTCTTCCACTCATTGACCACTTTATTAGAAACACTGACCTTGTGCCACTCACTGGCCACTTTAATGGAAACACCTACCTTGTGCTTTCACTCACTGGTCACTTTATTAGAAACACCTAGCTTGTGATTCCACTCTCTGGCCACTTTATTAGAAACACTGACCTTGTACTTCCACTCACTGGCCACTTTATTAGAAACACCTACCTTGTGCCACCACTCACTAGCCACTTTATTAGAAACACTGACCTTGTGCCACACACTGGCCACTTTATTAGACACACCTACCTTGTGCC